GTAATTTCACTGTAGTTATGTTTTAAATGCCGACGCTTACTCCATAATCTTTTGAAATAGAAACATACAAAAATATACTCATTATAAATCCACATATCGTATTTACTTAATGTTTAGGACAAAGCAAAAAGAAGTGTATGAATTCAATATTGACTTGTGAGACTAAACAAAAAAGCTTATACCTGGAAATTGATAGATGTGGAACAGTGGAAGAATGCCACTTATGGATGCCAAAAGTTTAGGAAAACTTTACAGAAGCTACGTGGGGGGGGGGGGGTTATTGTACATGTGATCATTTTCAAGTTTTTCCATTCCACCATTTGTTTTGCCTAACGTCTTGGTTCTTTTCTCTAGTAAAAAAATTCGTCAACTTAGACCACCCGTAAATAGATTTTCTCTGAGTTAAGTTGCCTGATATTTTGTATCTTAAACTAATTTTGGCTACCCTTTCTCTTGCAAGAACGATTTTGAAAATCGCCAATAGACATTTCTGAAATGTCTTATAAATAAAATATATTTATATTTAATTTGCATGATACCGTGACCGTTAAAACTATTGTGTCCATAAAAACAACATACATAAGGTTTTATATGAAAATTCTCTACCTACACGAACACTGTCTAGTTCTTACTATGTAACGGGTTTGTTCTATCATACTGCAATGTTTTTTTTACGCGCTCAATAGTTAAGGATCTATATTTATGAACGATCAATGTTTAATGTGCAATAAGTATTAATCATTAACAAACGAGCAACTTTACTGTAAGGGTTTTAAAAGGAATTCTAATTTCTATTAAAAATCCTCAATCTCAATCTAAAGAAGCTTTTCCGATAAAAAAAAAATTAAAAAATTACTGTTGCTATTTATCATAAATTCTTAATCCATTTTTCTTCTAAACAGTGTCTGTCTTGAAACGTTAGATCTTGAAGCCAGTTTCGCCTAGAATCAATAAAAACCGTGGCGTACAGGAGTAGGTATTCGTCACGCACGGGCGCGGCGCTCTGGCCCACTATAATGACAGTGGCCCCGATATGGCCATCGGGTCCCGTCTACTGATGGAGTTTCGGGCAATTGTTCCACAGAGAGTATGTGGTTAGAAAAAACTACTTTACATTACAAATGTTGTTTAAATCCACACAAAGTGAGATACAAATTGTTAAAAAAAAACATATTTTTACCTATTTAAGCATCCCGGGCAAAAAAAAAATGGACGGTATTATTTTGTTTCCACTTTTTTCGGGAAATATTTTAAACCTTGAGCAACATTTCCTAACTAATAGTATTCTTAATTCTTGTGATATTTACCTATCATTATTTATACGGTACTGATTTTTTTATCTAATCAGCTTACGTCAGATTAAGCTTGAATACCGTTTCAGATTCCTTTTTGTTCAGTACTGCTATGTAAATAAAGCATGATTTTTTCCCCTTGAACGCTTTAAAAGTGCGAAGTTACGGCTTCCGAAGTCATTGTTGTTTCGTGATTGTTGAGAGTGCGGCTAACATTGTGGATATAAACAAAATTTTTCCTTATAAAACTTTTCGAAAATTCTGATACGATTTCAGTGAATTCAGAGAAAAGTAGTAATTTAAAACAATATGAGTCAACTGGTAGTTGGCACCTGCAGAAACAAAAATATATCTTTGAAAAGTATCATGAAAAATATGAACTCTTAAATCCTAACTTTTGTGTATACATTTTTGAAAAACAAACTCTAACAAAAATATACTATCTATTTACGAAACATAATCTGATTAAACTAAAAAAAATGATAAAAATATACTTGTTATACCGTACTCAAAGGTGGATTGCAAAATATATTCGTATTTCCAAACCAACACCGCACTGTTGCATATGCATACACACGGAGTTTACGAGTAAAGCCTCGTGTTTGATACACCTGCAGACGTTGAGTAACTTCGGTCAGCAGTGGTGGCCAGCGAAACTGATCGAAATCGATTGTTCGACTGTCGATTTCGAAATCATCACGGTTGACTTGGTGTCTAAATAGCATGGCAATATAATGTTGCTACAAGCTGGCTGCAATAACATATACTGTAATGTAATACTCATAGAAGAAAATATGAATTATTTCCAAGTTGAGGGGGCAGTCTTGCTTCCATTATATTAGGTAAAACATTAGCTTTTATATTACCATTATATATCGTAGTTATGTATACATTTTCATTCCAAGTAAATATAAAAATGTATTTAAATATGCCATTTCAGACATATCCATCAACGCTGTTAATATCTTAAGTTTGCATACTAACTGATCTTTCAATTGCGTTCAGAATATGCCAAACAATACAATATTAAAATAGGCTGAAGAAAAAATAAATACAAATTACTAAATATTTTAAATTATAAATGTAACAAGTTATTATGTATGTAACAAGTCTGAGTAATAAGGGAAAGGGCTAAAATAGTATAAGAAAAATGTATCTACGATTTACTCTATAAATTTTGATGATTAACCAACTAACTATTCTTCAAAGAATTATTGACAAATTACGATTAGTAATTAAACAACAACAAATGAATTTTATATACAGGGAGTTTGCATATCAATAATCAACCCTCTAGTAATGTAAGACGTGATTCTTGTTTACATTCTTTTGCTGTTTGAAAATAATCTTACGTAAGTAATAAATTTACATAATTAACTTTAAAAAATATTCCAGTTTCTGTAAAATGAATTCTAACTCATTATTAAAACTAATTATTTATCATAAACAACATATACTGTTATATACTGTAAACTGTTTCTTTTTTGACACTCGATCTCGAAAGATTACAGTGACCCCTTCAAATCTGAAAGTTACTCGTTCGTTTTAAAAAGGAGAGGGATTTATGAACCTAAATGCCATTCTTCACTAAACTAGATGATAAAAGGTTGACGCAAGATTGTAACAAACCTATAGTTTGGACATTTCCAATTCCCTAAAAAAAATTAAAATACCAATGACATAGCTAAAACAAACACAAATAACATGAACACGATGAATCTTAATGTTTCAAATAGGTGACAAGACCCATCATGTAATCCGTGTGACAAACGTTTAAATTAACTTTACCTTTGCAAATGTAGTGTTATTGTTTTGTTGATGGGCCATTATATAGACACAAAGGCCTGGTAGTGGGCCACAGTGCACCAGTGGGGCTTTGTCTCCCATCATTGCACTAACGGGACACGATTATAACGGCTGTAATGAAAACGGGTGATAAATGAATACCTAATGAAAACAGGGATTTGAAGGACCCGTTATGAGTCGTATGGAAATCATATGAAAAATGTTTTGTTTGTTTATTTTGATTACTGTACTGTATTCAATGCATTATTGATATATGCCATAGTGGGTAGATGAGTGTATTCTCTGTGTGGCTCACATGCCATTCTTAAGGCTGACGTTTGATACTAAAATTCGAGTAATTATTATATTTTGTGGCTCTAACTTAGCATCTGCTCTTTACCATTAAAAAGGATTCCTCTTCGCTTAAAAGGGTTCCTGGTTTTGTATCCTGCTTATCTTATTGAGAAAAGGTTGTTATAAAAGGTATAAAATTACCTGAGTACTGCCAGAGTGATCCTGTTATACTGTGATCCTGTACTGCCAGGTTGTTATCCTTCCAACATTTATTATTTGCTCATTGTTCTAAAAATATACACCTTGGATGGGTCAGCGTCATATAAACATGATTAATTTTACTCTAGTCTGCTGGTAACAGTTATTATAGCTTTTCTTGGAAATAAAGAAAAACATTAATTAAAGACGATGAAAAATTACCAATGTTTATTAAAAAAACTTTTAAACACAAGAATGAATAAAAATAATACAGAAGAAATTGCCAAAGTAAAAGTCCAGAGACTTTTAATCTTAGTGTAAAAACAAAGAGGGTAACTTGGTATTTCATACCAAATGGTGTGCATGTTAATTTATTTTTTTTTAACCAGTTGGTTACATTTTGTTCCATGGTTCCACTTTGTATAATTGTATAAAAGTGATTTGTCTTAATAATACGTCACGTTGACACTTCCTACGTGTTTTGGTTTTATTAAATTAACTGGACAAATCTGCCGCATAGCTTTAGTGTTCAATTATAGTTTAGTCTGTCTTAGCTGTTACCTGATAGTGGAGGGCGTACAGGTGAATCTGTAAGGATAGACTGTTATTTCGATGAGTGTAATTTGATAAAGATCATGTATTTCGCAGTTTGTTCCAAAAATATTTCTAAAGGAAAGTTCTAATTTCCTTATTTTTATTAGAAGTTTCCTTATCGCAGCTTTCCAGAAAATATTACCTTACAGTTTTCTGGAGGTGGTTAATTATCAAATAATTTAATTTTAAATAGGAAACGTCACATTGTCGATTCAATGAAGACTAAAAACGTAATAAACCAGCTATTTTTTTTATTTTTCAAATAATGATAACGATAATTATTAATCATAAAAATTATAAAGTAAGTTAACTTTTAAACGACGAAATCTGTTTCACTTAGTTATGATTGCATTGAACATAAACAATGAATTTTTATATTTAAGTTTTAAAATAATAGCTTAACATATTAAGTATTGAATAATTTATCATGGGTAATAATTTATAGCAAATCATACCATTAACGTTTATTTTTTATTTTTAAAGGCTTAATATACTTAACAGCACCCGTTGCAGTAACAAATTAAACAGACAAAAGCAGTGACTATTACAAGTGTTACTATGATAATGTAGGGTATTTCAACAATCACACATCGTTGCATAATGCAAGTTATAATATAAAGGGAACATGCGGGTGAATTGATATCATTCATATTACTGTAGTCGCAATCATTGATGAACAGAGTTAAATATTGTATAGTTTAAATTAAACATTATTGAACGAACCATCATGTCGGCATAAATATTGGTTTTCATTGCCTTTAGTATGTAATTAATTAATTGTGTCTTTGCATATTTATTTAACCAAACAAATTAATGTTTTATTATTTTTGTTTGCAGGGACTATCTATTTTGTATATGACGGAACCGTCTTCACATATAAATCCGTAAACCATAAAGGTAAGTAACAATAGAACATAAATATTTCTGGGTTGTAAATCAGTATTAAAATTCAACTACGCTGTCAACTTTTGACACTTTTGGAATTACAAATTTGCGGATCTGAACTTATGATTTCATTATAAATCATTCCTCGGAAACCACGGTAATAAATTATTTCGCGGTGTCATGTTGACTGGAAAAGTTAAACGAATATTCACATTACTCAAACATTCTTCGCTTGATTTTCCGTGTTCTTGACAATCTTTTTTACTGTTTTACCTTATTTGGAAATATTATTACCATTAAAGAAAAAATTCTTAATATTCATAATGCTTTAATAAACCAAGTTGTATTACTAGATACAATAGAATATGTAGTGAACTGATTTTTTTAGTATGATAAACAACAATGTACAAATTAAATGAAAAAGTAAAATTAAGAAAATAAATGTAAAAAAAAGGTGACAAATGTATAAGTACACAGATTTGTATAAATCTGTGTTTTATATGAGTAATCATAACGATACCAATCATATGTTTTAAAAATAAATATTTTTGTAAACAGTTTTATTTGTAAGGCCAAACACAGTAGCTCTTCAATTTTAGCTACCTTTCCAGGTGGTAGAATTGAACTAAACCTAATTGATCTCAATATTCAATCAGATCAATTTGGTCTCAATCAGATACTCAATTGATTATGCGGTGTCATACAGTTCAAATCCACTGTATTAATACCATATATACAGAGCGCTTCGTAAGTAAACTGGCAATCGCTATGAAATGCCAATGCCAATGACAACTATATGTTTCTAAGAGTAAACATAGAGAGAATAACAAATATTACATTTCCCCCCAAAAAGCTTGGTAAACCAGACATGTGCCATTTATTTTTTTTTTGTTTTTTTTTTATAAAGATATCTATCTTCGAATCTTTTCAACCAATCTTTATAAAACTTAGTGAGTATCTTAAAGTAATATATACCTAATAAAAAGAATTTAGTTTGTCTAATTTTATTTGAATACTAGTGGTCTTTTTCGTTCCTATAACTTAAATTGCAAACAAATGGCCATTGGTGGCCTTTTTTTTTAGGATTAATTCGTATTTTTCTTCTGAATTTTGACCTATGGATTTATTTCTCAGAGTTTGGCTGTTTGCTTATGATTCACCTGTATAGCTTTTTAAGTTCATAATCTACAAATTTAAATGCAAAAAATAAATATTTTGTTTTTTAAATTTGACATGTTATCTCAATCACACTCGTATGGATGTATTTAATCATGGATCATAATGTTAACAAAGTTGTTTTTTACATTTCCAATACCAAAGAGCGCAAATAATATATTTATGAATACACGTGCTGTTTATACGTACTATGATAGTTGATGCAGTCGCATATAAAAGTACCTTGGAGAGGTTTTGTAGCGTGTGCATAATTTACTCAGCAGGAAATGCGGGTGCTATTCCCCCTCCCCCTCGCCCTCCTACCCTTAAAACAACCCCACAATAATACAACTCAGGTGCCTTGGTATTCCACAAATATATGTTATCGCCACTTTATTCCCTTGGTTAAAGTACTTTGAGACTCGGTCATGCAATTTCATTCTTGTCCTTGCATATTTAGCTTGTGTTTATACAGAGTATAATATATTATACTCTATACTTATACATTATACTTATACTTATGTATTATACATTATACTTATAGAGTATAAGTATAATGAGATCCATGTGTACTCATTGTGTAAGATGCCGAGTGGTTATTGCTCGTTTTTAAATCTGGAGGTCGCTAGTAATATCGGTCCAAGTGATTGATTTTAATCAAAATTTAAAGATAATTGTAGGCAATCAAACAATTTTTTATCGACAAGTTAACGTTAGATTGTAATGATACTGGGGTTTCCACAGTTTTCTTATACTATTCTTTGTAAAGCTTATAGCGCAAAATAATAAATTAAAACAAATTTACAGAAATCAATACTTATATATTTATGACTTTTGTTTCGAGCTCGTAGAAACTTAATCGTAATAGGATGTGCAGATCTAAGTACTTATTTCACAATATTTTCTTAATGTGTACAACAGACGATGTTATATGGAGACAATGTGATGCATAGGTTACCAATCTGGCGCAACATTTAATTTGTAATCCGTTTAGTTAGAGAAAATCGGGTTAGTGATGTGCTGAACCTGCAGTTTACTCTTTCAGACCTGCATCTTTATGACTTCTATTTACGTTTGAGGCTCTGGATACTGATTGCATTGTACGAATAATATATTCAAAATACTATAGTCCAACCAAAAACTAGTGTTGTATCCATTGTTGTAAAATTGAAAAAGTTAAATATTTATTCGAAGTAATTATAATTATTTATAATATAAAAATATTTTTTTATATTTGTAGATGCATTGTGTTGACATCTCATAAACCAAGTGAAGGCCACAGGAAAACCTTGCTCCTGACCTTGTGTGTAGGACCTGCTCCTGCATATGATCAGCATATTGGCCATCAGCTGACTTAACAATGAGATATCAGCTGATCCATTGTTGTCCGTTGTACGTGGTAGAGGTCAAGAATTCACATTAGGTTACAACTACAATGCTGGGACTTTAAAATTGGTTATGAAAAATCTTTTAATCACTAAAAACTATTCAGAAAAAGGGTCAAAATCCATAACGTGCTCACAACTCAATTGCAATTACACTAATACGCCGTCGTAAATACCTGGAAATGGCTGATCGATAAGTTTGGTTGGTTTGGTTAGGTTAGAGCAATGTCATATACTCTAACCTAACCTAATTAACCAACTTTTCGAACGTATAAGTGCAATTGTAAAAAAAATAGAGTTGTGGACAAGTAACGGATTTTGACCTAAGAAATTTATATATATATTAATAGTGTGTGTCAAAACTTTGCTGTTGCTGTTAGAGGTTAACTGTAAGAAAGAAACGTGAGGTCTTTAGTTCGCCTCAATAAAGAAGGATTGTCATTGAATTTAATTTAATTTCTACGACTCAATGAATTTAGAAGTCCATAAGACATGGCATAGTGGAAAGTTGTGTTAATAGAAAACTTGGGCAATAAACAGTAGCTTAAAATTACGCCTCTTCATTCATATGAAAGACAAAAAGAAATAACTGATATAAAACCTGTTTTTACTTAGAGGATACGAGTAAGCAGTAGATTATTGGTGAAGGTAAATTCTAAATGTTCCTTTCCTTTGGTTATTATATATGGTTTTGTTCATAACGCCTCTTTTAGTTAAAAGTGAAATTTTACGATTAAATTTGACATCTTGTTTCAGTTTTATTATGTAACCTGGAAGTTACAGTAAATATATATTACTGATAAACTTAAGAAAAACAACCAGTTTACATTTAAAATGTACTCAACAATTAAGTAACAACAAAATGATTTGTCAAATACTAAATTTAATCGTTAAAAATGAAACTTATACAGTACCACGGAAACCAACGATTCAGTGAGAAGGTTAAAAAGAAAGTCCCCAAGGGGGTTTACTGTCTGAAACACTCAAACTACGGTTGTTTCAGTGTCTAAACTCAGTGTAACAATTGTCAGACCCATGTTACAGCTTTTCCAACACCTAAATGTGGAAAAGCGGCAAAACATAACTGATACATTTCTTGCTCATATGGGGCTGTGTCGCTATCATCATTTCTCCTCGTACCTTATTAGTAAACTGTATTAGTAATTAGTGAGTTTATGTGATTTTTGGTACAAGTTTTCATTCAAAATGTTGATTGCAGTTTACAAAATTAGTCAGATAAGGAATTTTTGTATAATGCCAGTTTGAGTAAGGGTAAATAAATTTGACTATTGTTAGAGGGATTTAGATTGCTTGAACGATTGAATTTACTTCATATAAGTGACACACCTTGTATTGTTTTTGCATCAATAACTGTTCGATAAAGGTGCCAAATATATCACCTGTGTCATTTGACATAGCGGGTTTAGTTGGTAAATAAATACATCACAGAATGACAGCCGTAAAAGATTTTTCATATTGTTTGTTGTCATTGCCATCGTATGAGATGGTTTGCCTTATAAAATATGAAATATGCTTTTTACAACATGCAAAATGAACGATTTTCTTAACATATACTTTGTCTGCATATTATGCGCAGCTTTAATTAAATGGTAGAACCAAAATTTAGTTTATTGTAAACCTATATTTGATAACAAAAAATATTGCTAACCTATTTATGTATTTTATATATTTACAAGTAATGCGAACGTTCTTACAGTACTTTATACAGTATTAGAAATGTATACTACATTCATCATCAGTAATTACACAATTAACATTATTTAGGTTGTATTCCATTATTTGGTTACGTTTTATTCACAACTAAATCTTATTATAGATTTAATCTTAGCTAATGAAAAAAATCATTTTTGGCACAGGTTGTTAAAATGACATGACACGAATGAAATATTTTTTGTATAAGCGGTATATTTTAACAAAGCCCATTAAGGATTACTTCATAATCCACGAGCTCACATTCCCTTGAGTTGTGACTCAAAAATCAACCTTCCGCAGCCCCTCGCACAAAGCACCCCTGGGGCATTATTAATCAGCTTTTGTGCAGAGTAAAAATGTGTATTTTCGTTCAAACTTTTTTGAGTCACTGGAAAAATAAAAACGAACAGATTTCGCCAAAAGAAACGGATATACATTCATTGTTGAATACACCGACGTGTTTGTTTTTAGTATATTGGTCCTTTGAATAATAAATGGCTAAGAATGTTTGTTTGCTTGTGTGTTTTATTTGTTTGTTTACTGGTTACATCCTCACTTGAAAATTATTTACATTTATTAAATTGTGAAAGATTTATTAAATGATTTTAGCTCAATGTGAAATTTCCACTAATAAATATTCTACCTTTATTTGAACGAGCTCATAAACCAGCATGATCGGACCATGGGAACGGAGTTTTAAGGGGAATGTTATAGGATAAAAATTTGGGTTGTCTCATTTTTGGCCCTAAAAACAAAATT